TATATATATATATATATATATATATATATATATGTGCTTAATCGAATGAGAACTAATTAGTTTGTGGTAACCGTGAGGTCCATGAGCCAATTTATGATTTAAATTGTATTACCTTAATTAATAGGTAAATGACGTTTTAGTAAAATGATTAATTATAATTTAAATATTTTTCATATTTAATAGTTATCAATCAAGAATTCGGTTTCTTTAAATTCGATTCCCTTAATTATCTCAATAAAATTGTATCACATTGTGGTTGTGTGTGGCCTAAAACTCATATCACATTTGTTATCAAACCATGCTCAAAACGTTATCACAATGTGTATCACAATTGGTTTTGTATCTTAGGGGCTGTTTACCAAACGCTTACCAAGTCATACTACCTTGTTGGATGAATATAGCGAAAACCAAGAATCTTACCTGGTAAAGGCGAAGGCAAGGACCGAGAGTGTAACTCAGTAAGTGAGGACGACAACTCTTACCTTGGTTAGCGCTTACCGGGTAAATTGTTACATACGATGCCATATTGGTGGACTAAAATCTTACCCTGTAAGTAAGTGATAGTGTTAAATTTTACCGGTAAGCGCTTGGGTAAGTGTTTGGTAAACGACCCCTTACTCTTATAAATTCTTGGGTATCACAACGTGTATCATATTTGTTTTGTGTTTTACCGTTAGAAAATTTTCACCGGAGAGAGGGGGGGGGGGGGAGAGAAGAGAGATTTAAAAAAAAGACGTTAACCCCTATATATTATCCGTAAATTCAAATTATTTGAAAATTAATGAATAATTACCAAACTTAAAATGCTTAATAATAACCATTGATTATTAATAATGTGTGGTTAGATTGGGTCTCACAGTTATCACAAACAATCGAGTTCTACCTTGATTAGACCCATATATATATATATATATATATATATATATTATAATCTATTCTATTCGATGTTCAGTATAATCCTACTCTTAATGATATGGACGTACGTACGGTCTTTATGATGTCTTCAATAGATCGATCTTTTTATTGATAATCATTCATTTTGACCATATTCTATGATGAATATCATTGTCAACCTCTCCATCTTTCAAACGAAACAATTATAGTAAATGTCTTTCCCAACCACTACTTTTTGCTCGTTGTTGACTTGGGCTTCGATTAATTTAAAAAGAAACAGCACCCAGTTGCCGGGTCCGTTACTCTTCATATAATCATACATCATCCGAATCTACAAAAAATAGCTGTTCAATTGGTCTTCCATTATAAAAAAACACTACTTGTTGGTGACATTACTCTTATATAATCGTGAATCCTCTTCATCTCCCATATCATTCGTACCTTCCCCTGATTCAGAATGGTTGTTCTTTCTGGACTTTCTCAAGAATCTTTATCTTCTTCTTCAACTCATGATCAATATAGATTTGACGTGTTTTTAAGTTTTAGAGGTCTTGACACTCGTCATAACTTCACTGATCACCTTTATAACGCCCTAATCGAAGCTAATCTCACAACTTTCTTAGACGAAGAAGAGATCGAAACCGGACTATATTTGAAACCAGAATTGGAGAGTGTAATCAAAGCATCCAGGGCTTCTATTATTGTGTTGTCTCATAATTATGCTACGTCGACGTGGTGTCTTAACGAACTAGCATTGATCCTTGAACAATGTAGGATCTCTGACCATATTGTTATCCCAATCTTCTATCATGTCGAGCCTACCGATGTCAGGAAGCAACAATCCAACTTTGGGGATGCAATGGCAAAGCATAAAGAGATGATGATGTCAGAGAAAAATGCAGAAAAAAGAAGTCAGTGGGCTCAGAAAATGGAGTTATGGAATACGGCGCTATCGGAAATTGCTGATTTAAAAGGAAAAACCGCAAAGGGCAGGTAACAACTTTCTTACAATGTTCTCTGAATGCAATTCAGTAAGTTGCTTTAGTGCCATAAGCATAAATCTCTTGTCTGTTTTGTTCGTTAAAAAAACATCCTTATATTGAATCTTCTTTCAATTATATGATCTCAGAATTTTGACATATATTAACCATTTCCATAATTCTAATACGCTTTGAATTATATTCAAATTTTGAACACTTTGGCATGTATTTAATATCATAGTATTCCGTTTTCATGGTTAATGGTAAATAGGAACTTTTTTTTATTAACCTGGATATCCAACCCGCTATGTGAGCCGACTAATCCCAGGACGACCACCTGCTTTGCAGATAGCCCGAAGTCACCGCATTTGAACCTCCGTGGCCACAAGTGGATTTTTATTTCTCCTTGGATTTGAACATGAGATATTCATGTACTTTTGACATTTGGAGTCAAACTTAAAGCAATCAGGCACCACCCTTGTGGTTATAATTACTACTAAACTATCTCCATGGTATAATTTAAGCCATTTTTTCTAAGACAAAGGGTAGTTTTTTAATTGACCAGAAATTCAAGAAAAGAATTATTTATTTTTATAAGTTGACATCATTCAAGCAATAATTGATAGGGTTAATTAATTTTGGTTGAACAAGCAAAAATTTAAATATTTGAGTATCTATACTATAATTATCTTGAATTTTTCAAGGGGAAATTGACTAAAATGACTATTTTATATATTTTATCTTAATAAAATGATCACTTTTTAAACTTTTATCAGAAAAATGACCATCGATTTTGATCAGAAGGTACGGAGGGGTGCCATATGTATCTGATTTTGGGGACACAAATCATATATTATATCTGATATAGAAGAAATCGCCCCCTAGGGCGATTTTGACTATTATTATGTCTTATAGTGAGTACAACCTATGACGCAACGATTTGACACTTCAGGGACGATTTTCAAGGTATGGGGGTGATTTTCAATGTGTATAAATGTCATAGTTTTTTCTATAAAATTGTATTATTCTACTCTCATAACCCTTAACACTTAACCAAAATCTACCATCATAACCGTTAACACAAATATTTAATATTGGGCTTATTTCAAAGGTATTAACAAAACAATTATAATAATGTAACTTGTTAACGTTAAAACGTATTTTAGTTAATATATGATTATATATGTTAATGTGATAAGGATGTAAAATAAAAAATGAAAAAAATTAAAGGAAATAAAATAACTATAAAGATATAAAATATATTTTAAAATGAAAAAATATATTAAAGAATTACAACCTGAGAAGAAACAAAATGACACTAACAGGGTATGGAATTTTATAGGGACGGAAATAACAACTCCTTTGATATTTTATAGATTTTTTATTAATGGTGTAATTTCCAAATATTCAACACCCTCTTATTTTAACAGTACGCAAACTAAATTATATTTATCAAAAAAAAAAAATTCAAAGACTATATTGAATGATAAACCAGTTATCGTCCACAAAAACTAACGCATAAATGAGTCAAACACGTTTGGTCAGAAAAAAGTGAGTCAAACACATTGCCCAACTCGATACTGAAATCACGTGGGTGATAAAGACATGTCGATCAACAATTTATTGAAAAAAATATTAACATTCGTTGTTTTTTTTCATAAAAACTATATTTTTGATAAGAAATATAACATTTGTTGGTTCTTATCAGATTTTTGACTCCCAAATAGTATACATGTGGGACCCATCCATACCTCAAATGAAGAAATCGTGAAAATATTTTTTTTATCAACAATTATTAAAAGAATATTAACATTCGTTGGTTTTCATAAAAACTATATTTTCTCGTGAAAATATATTTTATTTATGGTGTTTAAAAAAAGTAGTAAAATTTTTAAAGGTTATGATGGTAGATTGTGTTTAAGGGTTAAGGATTGTAAGAGTAGAAGTGTTTGGATCACTAGAATTTTATAGAGAATACTACAAGATTTGGTCCTAAAAAAACAAAATACCAATGAAAATCGCCCCCATACCTTGAAAATCACTCTTGAAGTGTCAAATCGTTGCATTACAGGTTGTCCTCACTAGAAGACAGAATAATGGTCAAAATCGCCCTAAGGGGGGATTTGAGGCTTCTGGGGGGCGATTTCTTCTATATCAGATATAACATTTGATTTTTGTTTTCTAAATCAGATACATGTGTAAGCCCTCCACACCTTCTAGTCAAAATCTCCCCCAAAAAGTCAAAATCGCCTCCCAAGGGTGATTTGCATGGTCATTTTATGATAAAAGTCTAAAAAGTAGTCATTTTGTTAAGGTAAAGTGTATAAAATGGTCATTTTGATCAATTTCTCTTTTTAAGAGGTACAACTCATTAAGAATATTTTACATGCTTTTAAAATTTACAACCTCCCACTATCTACTACCAAATGATTTTCAATTTCAAAATTATATTTCGTACCTTTATAATTAGTGATCTAATTTACTTTATATCCCTTACTTTTTCATTTTACACCTTTATCATATTAACATAAATAATTGTATGTGAAATATAATGCATTTAAAAAATACATATATTTTTATAAATTATACCATTATAATCGTCTCGTCAACACCTTCAAATTGATCCCCATATTGAATATTTATTTGATTTAGTAACACTAATAAATATTATGAATACCTACGAATTAATTTGTTTTATATCCATACTTTTTTATTTTAGACCTTTATTATATATAAAAAAAGTATGATCATACAATAACTAAAACATTAAAAAAAATTGCATTTTCTTTATTTATTACACATTATATCTTTATTGATTGTTCGTAATTGGTTATACATCTTAAATTTTTAAGAGGTACAACCGATTAATGATATTGTACAAGCTTTTAAGGCTTACAGCTTTTCATGATCTTCCATCAAATCATTTTCATTTTTCAAAATTACATTTTATATATTTTTATAATTAGTGATTTGATTTTACTTTATATAATTCACTTTTTCATTTTTACACACTTATCATATTAAAATAAATAATCGTATATGAATGCATTTATCTTTTACAAATTACATCATTATAATTGTCTCGTTAATACCTTGAAATTGAGCCTAATATTGATTTTTTTTAATTTAATAATACTATTAAATATCTACGAATTAAATTGTTTTATATTCATACATTTTCATTTTCCATTTTACACCTTTTATCATATTAAAATGTATAAATAATAATTTCATTATATATATATATATATATTTTCCATCTTTAAAAGGAATTTTAAAAATTAGATAAAAAGACTAAATTACCCCTCATTTAATAGATATTATTTAATGGAGTTACCAACGACAACTTTCAAAACAAAATGAGAACCACAAGGAAATTTTCTAGAGTTATAAAGTTCAGGTCTCATTTTCAAAGATTTCACCAAACACGAGGGACCAAAATTAGAGTTTACTCAACTTTGAATCTGTAAATCATCTTATTTATGATTTAAAATCACATTAAACTATAAAATTAGCATCAAGAGAGACGGAGAATAAAACAAAATTTGAAACAATATTGTCATGTTATCGACTTCATAATCAAAATGATTTGCACAACATCACACACAAATTTATTAGTAGTTTGAATATTATAGAAAGTTGTCTACACACCAAAATTTTGCAAATGTAGCATCATATAATATTGGCTATATGATGCTACATTTGTATACACTATATATATATATATATATATATATATATATATATATATATATATAAAGAGAGAGGGGGGTGAGTTTAGATACAAACTCTCTAATTAGTAAAATCATACAAACCAATCTCAATCGTCTATCTACTCAAATAATATTTGATTTCATAAATATCTCGATTGTTTCCTTATAGAAAGTGTTAATCATAATGAACGAACTTCGATCGTCTTTCATAAATATTCAAATCATAATAAAAAAAACTTCATCATTTCCATAAATATCTCGTTTGATTGATTTTTATATGGTTTGTACTAATTTGAGGGTTTGCATTTGAAATACTAATTAATACAAACCAATCTCAAACGTCTATTTAGTCTAATGAACAACTGGCTTCATAAATATCTCAATTGTTTCTTGATCTAAAACGTTAATTATAACGAATGAACTCTAATCATTTTTCAAAAATATATAGATCATAGTAAGTAAACTCTCATCATTTCCATAATTATCTTATTGTATCTGGTGTGTTTAGTTTTCTCATTGATGCTTCAAGATTCTCACTGAGATCAATTTTCAGGAAAGAGACGGAGTTCATTGAAGAAATTGTTACCGACATCATTCGTAGGTTAGGTGTACCCTTACGAGTAGCTTTGCCACTCCTTATCGGCATGCACCATCACATTAGATTCATTAGTTCTTGGTTGAAAGATGGATCATCTCATAGTGCCGATATTCTCACAATTATAGGCATGGGTGGGATTGGGAAGACATCTTTGGCCAGATATGTCTTTGGATTACACTGTCGTGAATTCGAAAGATGGAGCTTTATTGAAGATATTAGTAGGAGGTGTAACGGACAATTTAATGGATTGCTTGATATACAAAAACAAATATGTGGTGACATTTCGAAAACAAGTTCAGTTCATGTTCATGATGTTTTTGTATATACCTCTCAGATTGAGAATGCAATAGCCCGTAAAAAGGTGTTTCTAGTTCTTGATGATGTTGATAGTCTCGATCAGCTGGATGCCTTACTTGGAAACAAAGGTTTTCATCCAGGAAGCAAAGTCATAATAACGAGTAACGACACGTTGTTGACAGAGAAGTGTGAGCTATTCAACTCGATAGTTCAACCAAAGCATACAAAGCACTTGCTTGTAGGTTTAGATGAATATGAATCACTAAATCTTTTAAGTTTTCATGCATTTAAGTCCAACAGTCCGGAGGAAGGTTACAAAGAGGTTTCGAAAACACTTGTGAAGTATTGTGAAGGACATCCATTGGCTCTAGAAGTGTTGGGAAAGTCTCTACGTAATCGAGATGTAGTTGAATGGGAGGATTACATTGACAGATTAAAGAAAGTGCCTCATTCCCATATTAAAAAGGTTTTCCAAATGAGCTTGGACTCTTTGGAGGAGGATGATAAGGAATTGTTTAAACATATTGCTTGCTTTTTTGTTGGAGAAGACAGGGAATCAACTAAAACAATATTAAATGGATGCGGAATCCACACAGTTTTTGGGATCAAGAATCTCATTGACAGATGCCTTCTTCGGATTGGATGGGATAACAAGTTGATGATGCATCAACTGCTTCAAGAGACAGGAAGAGATGTTGTACGTCAGGAATCACCTGAGAAGCCATGGAAACGAAGTCGATTATGGTGTCATGAGGAGTCATTCAAAGTGTTGAAACACGAAAAGGTAAAAGGTCATGTATGCTTTCTTGTTAGTATTATGTCTGTTCCAAGTATTTTGTATCATCTATCTACACTTATATATAACATCTTATTTCTAATTTTTGCATGTCCTTTGTTCTTAGGGTAAGGGAAATCTTCTTGGCCTTGTGCTTGACATGAGAATGCTTGAGAAAGACAAGTTATTTCAGTTGAATACAAATGCATTGATTAAGATGGATAATCTGATGCTACTACAACTCAATTATGTGCAACTCACCGGGTCCTATAAGAATTTTCCACAAGAATTAAGATGGCTGTGTATGCACAAGTTTTCTTTAGAGTATATACCTCGAGACTTACTATCACAATTGGAGAATCTGGTTTCTCTTGACATGTCTTATAGCAATTTTAAATCATTGGACATGTCTTATGGTAAACCACAACATCATGAGAATATGGAAAAGGTAAGAAACTTGAAGTATTTACTTTAACTTTCATTATTCTTCTATGCATGTTGGGTTAATGCAAGTCATTGACTGTTTTACCTTATCTTCATTTCAACAGTTGAGTGGCTCGTGCTTAAAAGACAAACGATTTCTTAGATCATTGAAGATTCTTAATCTAAGTTCCTGCAAACAACTTCGTAGTCTCAGTGGCTTTGTCGAACTCCCAGCACTTGAGAGGTTAATACTTGCAAATTGCACAAGTTTGATTGAGGTCTGTGGATCAATTGAGCAATGTGATGAACTTGTCCTCATCGATCTAAGTTACTGCAATGAGTTTAAAAATCTTTTAAGAACTATAGGCAAGTTAAAGAAGGTCAAAACACTATTATTAGATGGTTGTAATCTTGGTGAATTTTCTATCAAGAAGAGGGATACAGAATCATCGGAAATGCTCAAGGCTAACAAGAGTGGCATAAACTCCCAAACTTCTTCTGTCATTGTGGAGACAATACCTAGAGATTTTAGATCCTTTGTAATTTCTTCACTGAGCTCATTAGTATGCTTGTCACTTAAAGATAATAAGTTGTCCAACGAATCCTTTCCAATGGACTTCAGTAACCTATCCATGTTGAAAGAGTTGTATTTAGATGGTAATTCAATAGTTTCACTCCCCAATTGTGTGAGAGGCCTTCCTAGACTTGAGAAACTTAGTATCGAAAAGTGTGATAGATTGAAGACATTAGAGCATCCTCCACGTACGTTAAAACACTTGATATTTGGTTTTAGGTACGAGTTAGAGAAAGTCGTATTCCATCAAGAAATGTCCCCAATCATGTTAAGTATCAATACAAATTTGGGGTCTTTTATTGAAGGCATGTTCAAAGTGGAAGATATGGCAAATGTTGAGGAAGACGTATTACGTAGTTTGGGCTGGACTAATTTAGAGTTCACCAAAAACACACTGATAAAGACACGACCTAAAGTCCAGGTTTGCTCTCATTAACCATTTCTCTATGTATGAATATGTACATATAACTGATGCTGATTAAGCTTGTATTTCGCAGATGCAATATGAATTTGGGATATTCAGCACAGTTTTTCGTGGGAAGGAGGTTCCGAATTGGATTAGTGATAGAAGGGAAGGGTCATCGATATCATTTACCATCCCATCATCTCCTAACAACCTTAGAGGATTGAATTTTTGCTATGTGTTCATGAATACAGGTATAAATGGCTACATTCTGTCACCTATCATTGTTTCGAATGTAACAAAGATCCGCACCTAGTGGTACAATCACAGTAACACAATTGCTTCGGCCGCTTGTAAGGGTGGAATATATTTAAGCCATTGGATGTTTGGGACAAATGAGATGGAAGATGGTGACCAAGTTACTATTACTGTTCTAAATCCAAATGGTATAAGGGAGTGTGGGGTGAGCCTTGTGTATGATGATGGGAAGATGGAAGAACATGCTTTGGGTTATTACAAGTCATGGAATCATATAATTGGTGGAGATCTCTCTCCTTTTCAAACTACTACTCCAGGAGAGTATTTCCTAAACAAGTGGCACTTTTTTAGGAGCAATCCTAGATACAAATATGCAGGTATGTGATAACAATCTATTATGACATTTAGACAAATTTGATATCATGGTAAAGTTGGATTTGTTGTAGTGAGCATATGTAAATGATAACTAACGTGTTATTCTTTATCTTCTTTTTTTCATCAGAAGATCGTCCTTTGTTTAGAGCTTTCTCCCGAAGGAAGTCCGATGTAATTGGAGGCACGCCAGGGGTCGACGGAGCCAACCATCACCCAACAGACCGGCAGCATTGGAAATATATTAACAGAGTGCACAAAAATACCTCAATCTTTAAATATATATTTGTCATTTTATTTATTTTATTTTGTATTTATACGATAACATTAAGAGGACCACCCTGAATATATAAATTCTGGTTCTGCCCCACGACACACCTAAGTAGATTATTGATGTAAATCTTGTTCTCCAGAAATTCCTAACTAAAATTTGGTTTTGGTCCAATTAGACCCACACATTGACTTGATCCTTTAACGCCAATGATGGGTGACGCAGTAACGTCCTCTCGCTTTTCTCACTCACCATCTGATCTTCTTCTTCTCAACCACCAGAAACTATCGCAAATGTTTAATTGCATCATAGGTACTAGCATTGATGTTGCCTTTCATTCACTTCCTCTGTCACACTACAAAACTGAAGGGTTTCATCGATGGAAAAAAAATTGCCGCTCATATGTCGCTAAAATCCGGGTCTGTCGGTGAAAGCCTGTCGGACAGGATATGGTGGGTGAAGCCATTACCGACGGATTTCATCGATGGATCGTCAACGACAACGATTACCGACAAATCACTAACGACAAGATTTACTAATGGACAACTGACGATCTCCAATACCGACGGATCACCGATGGCATTCAATAACGACGGATCACTAACGACCCATTTAATATTTATCGACAGATTTTCATTGATGATATGTCGGTAACTATACTCTTTAAAAAATAATTGAAAATCTTGTATTTTGTGTAAAAATAAACCTTTCAAACTATGATAAAGATACAAAATTTGTTTTACAATTCAAAAGTAATATTTATTACAAATTTGTCCCTAATTCTATTTAGTATGGTATAAGGAGAGCAGCAGGTTCTAGAACCACCTCACGGAAGCATAATTGAAATTTGAAACTGCTTTGTTAGCGATTTTAGCCAAAGTTAGCTTTTAGTTATCTCCTTTAGTTGTTGCTTCATGCCCTCTTTTTCTTTTCACTCTCCACTTGGATCAGAAACTGCTTGCAATCAGTGGTAATAGAGAAGTCATACCTAAAGATAGTCATGTTCACCATATGTTTCTTTCCCTGCATTCTTCCATAGATAGTTACTTCAGTGATCTTCGCTTAGTGTAAATGTTGATCTAGTAAATGTGCATTTTTAGCTGTATTTTTTAATGAGTTGGGTCGTTGTAGTTGCATTTTTAACAATCAGTATCGTTGCAGTTTTTTTTAGAATGTTGGGTCCTTGAATATATTAATGAGTTGGTATTTGTGGTTGCGTTAGGGACCTAGTTCGTTAAAAATTGCAACGAGAAGGACCAATCTCAGTAATTTCTCAAATCAGAATGGTATCTTTTAAAAATTCCAAACCACAGGGACGAAAAACGTAATTCTCTCTAAAAATATTATATGTATAAGGGGTGTAATTGTGACAATTCTAATTATGAAGGAGTTTAAATGTAATTAACTCAAAGCCATCATCATATCTATTGGAATTCGGGAAGAAAATTCTGGAATTTATTACCCAAACACAGACCGGAGACAATGGCAGAAACCGGCGGTCTATCTCGGAAAGTAATCGCAATTGCCGCCGGTGAAGCTCACACTCTTGCTCTCACTGGTAATAAGCTCTTATAACAGCTGTATACCTATTAATGGGCACTATAACAGTAACAAGGAAGTCATTCATTATGTTGATACCGTCCTTATTCATAGAAGTTTCGGCTACGAAAGCTTTGGGGTTTTTTAATTTCGTTTTCTTCTGTGTATGAAGGTGACGGTAATGTGTATTCATGGGGTAGAGGAACTTTCGGCCGGCTCGGCAACGGTTCAGAGCGCGATCAGCTTTTCCCTGTGAAAATAGAATTCAAATTGACTGATAAGAGAGATAGGGTCAAAATTATTGGAATATCTGCCGGCGCTTATCACAGTCTAGCTCTTGCTGGTAATATTCATATTCTTTTAGCAACAGGTATCGTGTGTGTGTGTGTGTAATCCAAAATTGTCCGATAATGTGAACTTTGCTTAATCAACTTACAAATTGGGAAACCCTGGTCATTTCGCCTCAAAAAAGTGCTCATATTAAGAATTTATAACTGGCCCTATAGGCTATAAGTTATCAAAATTCTGAATTGGAGCATGATATGATATGTTATTCCTTATTTATCATTACTATTGCATCATCGTTGCTACATGAGGGCCAAATTATTACAGTTCTCATATATGGCTTATTGGTAAGTTGGAAACGTCAAATTGCAGATGAGAGGTGTGATTTGTAAAATGTACATGGATCGGTAGCCACCTCTGGTTGTGGGTCATTTGTAGTCAACTTATTTTCTGCATTTGGCTTAAAAGTAACAGGCCATATTATTCAAATTACATATGGTGGACTTTGACAATGTGGTCTACTGGTCTGAACCTGAATCTAGCAGACCATTTGGTTGGTATCAGATATTTAATTGGTCTATCCAACTGCTGCAATGAGTTGCCGCAAATGAGACAGTGGTGTTATGGATCAATGTCCTCATAAATGTGGCATCTTGTCATGAACCTTTGGAATCGAGTATTTTTGGCATTAAGGGAAGTATTATCGTTAAAGACCGTGTTATAAAAGATATTTAAGGTCACTGATATAATATCCCAGCATGTTTTGGCAAAACAAATATAAATGACTGGACTGGAAAGTCAGAGTCCCTGACCTGACATTTTTTTTTTCTTATTCCAATATTATCTCAGATGATGGTTCGGTTTGGAGCTGGGGTTACAATAGCTGTATCCTTTCATATGATAATTCTACACTTGCAATGTTATACATCAGTTTCTGAAAGAATTAGCTTTTTTAGATGTCTAGATCATCCGACTATGCAAGACCATTGAATTTGTACTTTTTAATTGGATCTTTGTGGTGTGAACGCTGTATCTTTGACAGTAAGATAGATGGTCAACTTGGTGATGATGGGGAGAATTCTTTCGTTCCCTGTTTGGTGAAGCTGCCTATGACTGATGGATCAGTAACTAAGAATGAAACGGCCCCTAAGGTGTTGACTAACATAAACTTCTCTTATTTCTCAAATACCTAAAGATCCACTTATATGTTTTTTAAGTTCTGATTTTCTATGTCAGTAATTTACTTTCCCTCCCAGATTTCTTCTGTGAAAGCTGGAAGTATGATGTCACTAGCAATCAATGATAGTGGGTCTCTCTGGATGTGGGGCAACTGCCCAGTACAGGAAACCTCTAGCGAAGGGGGATTTTCACTTACCCCAACATCTACTCCAATATCCATTTGGAATTTCCATGGTCACACTGTGGTTAAGGTGGCATGTGGTAGTGAGCACATTGTAACATTAGTCAGCGCTGGAGAAAAACGTGAAGGTGGTGATCTGGTATGCTATACTTGGGGTAACAACAATCATGGGCAGCTAGGCCTTGGAGATACAGAGGCGAGGTCAAATCCTCGAATGGTTGAAAAATTCAACACAGGGTCACCTTGGGCAGCTTATGAAGTAGCATGTGGAGCATTCCATACTTGTGTACTTGCTTATAGAAAGACGGAGAGTGTTGCCTTAGAAAGTGTATGCTGGACTTTTGGTCGTGGTGATAACGGGCAGCTTGGTCAGGGAACCACTAAAAAGTCATTGTACCCTGAAATGGTTGAAGGGTTGCCTGAAAATTCACTCTTACTTTCTGTCGACTGTGGTTTATTCCACACCAGTGTGGTTTCATCATCTGGGAATGTTTGGTCATGGGGAATGGAAAACGGACTTGGACTATGTCCTGAAGCCACTTTTACAGAAAGTGATGGTGGAGATATACTTACTCCTCGCTTAATCAATGAGGTATTTGGCGCGAAATTTCCCGAACCTGTTCAAGTAGCTTGTGGTGCTGCGCATACTGTTCTTCTTGCAGATAGTGGACACAAGCTTTGGGCTTGGGGGAGGGGAAGAAATGGGGTCCTTGGAAATGGTCAAGAAATTGACTTTTTTGCCCCAAAGGATGTGTTGTGGCCCCAACCAGACGAGAAGGGTCTGGGAACTTTTGCGAATGAAGTTAGTGTGGAAAGGGATCCTGAAGAAACTACAGAGAATGAGAAGAAATTATCTGCTGTGATGCAAGAGATGAATCTTCTCCAGTCTAAGCTTTCTATAATGGAGCGTTACGCCAGCATTCTTCATGGTTCTATTTTTGGAAAGCCTTTTGAAGAAGATAGAGATATACCAGTCTCATTACGGAACTCGGGTACATTTGAGATTGCCAAAGAGTGGGAGAATATGTTGGAATCGTGTGATCGTGGTAAGCTCATACGTTTGCAGATGTTTTATCGGAACATGCTTGYTGGTGTGGAAGATAAGATGACGAAGCAAAGGATTAAGGAGATGATCAAAGAATGTCTTGAATCATCAGCAAGTACTACTCGCTAAACTGTTTTTCTGGTGGCCTTTGGTATGTTTTATGTGAATCGTTACCCTTCACTTGTCATAGYTTTCAAGGGTCTCATTTCATTTCACATCTTTGTTTTGTTTGATTTGCTTTCCTTCTTCRACCATATTTTGGTTGATTTCCTTTCCTTCTTCAACCAACATTTGTTGTTGTCTGCCTTATGCTCTGGTTCCAACCATGGTTTACGACTACCAATCTAATTTGAAGCTGTGGCGGTTTGTAAAGTTGTGGTCGTTTGTTGTTGTCTGCCTTATGCTTTTGATTTTCTATCGAGGCTTCCTATTGTTTTTTCTTTTGGTGTATGATTTGTTTCAGTTTTTTTGTTGTCCATTACAACTACAGGGATGTAGGAAGCTGTGAAGTTAYCAATGGCAGGTGGAAAAAAGCAGCTATCGACACATATAATGGTTGGAAATTAATTATTTCAGTTTGTATTTTACTTTAGAAGTTCTAATCAAATATCTCTGTATTTTTCCTCCACAAGTTCTCATCATACATCTCACRTATCCTAAGCGATATAAATTTTATTTCATTGATTGGGATTGCATTTGTACCGGACAAATATTTGGTTTTGMTTCATCTCACATATCTTGAAACCTTTTGTTTGGTTGGTTTAACTTATTAATTGTAGTTATGCCAATTATCTTGTAAAACATAGTTTTTGAAACTGACTTGAATTGGTCTTATTAGACATTAATTGCCTGAGACTTCTTGTTTATGTAGATGGATACTTGCTTCCAATGTGACCCTCCCAGACATTCACTTGACCAGTTAAATTCCGTCAAAGAACACGTTATCCTTTCCTTTTCTTTTTATCATCTTAGAGATCCGTGCACTTACGAGTTACGAGTATCATGTTATATTAAAGTTTGTGGTAACAGTTTTATCATGCTAAACTTGTGCTAAGCTAACCTTTCGATACTTGTTGCAGCAGGTCGTTAGTACACTGATGCTCCCTTTTTGTGCTTTCACTATGATTACCCCCATTCTCTTGTTATACGGAATTACAGTGGCATTCTTCTTTGTTTCTTTCGGAAATCTAGCTTTCAACGCTGCTTCACCTCGCAAAGCTATTATACAGAGAGAGAGAGGTTTGTAAGTCTACATATGAATAAATAGTTCGTCAATCACCAATCCCACGAGCAATGTTCTCTTGGTAAGTAACTAGCTGACATAATCTGGGGAAATATAAGTTTACCGTACTTCAAGCTATCATTACATTATGGCATCCATGCTACTTCAAGATGATAATAATTTGTGTTCAAAATCCTCAAGTTCGTACAGGCCAATTTTGTTGAGGACTAATTTCTATGGAAATTGATAATTTAAGGTATATTCATCCATGTGATATATAGTACAAGCATCAATGCAATCGGTAGAAATTTTCTTGAAACTGAATGAGGAATTAATGGATCTACCTGTTGCAGTTGCAGCTCTGAGAGTCAGCATTGGAATAACTCATTGACTATTAAAATGAATTGTGTTTGGTACCACCACAATTTTGAATAACCTTCTCATGAACTAAAACCTTCTCCTCTGTTGCCTGCTGGTTGTTGCTCCCTGCTTCTACTTGGTATGCTTTTCCTTGCTGAATTTTTGTGCTTTGCTCTGTATATCTTTGATTTGCAAGATTTTCTTTGCTCTGTTTTTATTTTTGCTTTTCTTTGTTGACGAGGGATTTATAAGGTTGGGACGGAAACTAGTGTTCTTAGGGGTTGTTTACCCGATAAGCACTTACCGGTAAAATTCAATGCTATTACTTGCCTTATTGGGTAAGATTTTCGTCTATCAAAATGACATTGTATGCAACAATTCACCTGATAAGCACTAGCCGGGTAAGATTCTCGATCTTTTCCATGTTTATATGGTAAGGTAATATGACTTGGTAAGCGCTTACTGGTAATATGTTTTGTCACAGTAACATGCTACAAGATGTTCTTCCAAAAACCCAGACATTGTTATATTTGTTGACGTAGATTGAAGATCCTTACTTTTACCAATATCAAAGTTCGATTGTATATGATCATTTCGGTGTAGGAAATTAGTTTTATTGGATTGGCATTGTATTAGATTAAATTGGGTATAGTATTGGATTTGGTTTAAAAGTGCATCATTTTAAATAACAACACAAATTACAAAATTACTGATGGACCAACGAACAAAAATAAAAAAGGTAAAAAGAAAAAATTTATTTATTATCTTTCAGAAATCCGTGTGTGATTATGAAATTCACCCGGTATTAGCTACTCTTTTTGTGTTTTCGGAAAATTTACTGGTAGTCAGATAATCATCTGTGGAATACACCGATGGATTCTTGTTGTCCTTGAATTTTGGTTGGTGAAAGTTAGATTTCTAGTAGTGATATATATACGTCGATCAAATTGTCAATACTCCCCAACTGATACAGAGAGACTTGCGAGTACAATTGAGGACCAGCTCAACATCGCAAAGAAGCACGAACAGAGTCTACCGCAACTCTCCATGCGAGTTGGGTGGTGTTTATTAAAAAAAGCTCTTGTTTTACCACTATGTCTGATTCAGTTGGATATAAGGTAATTTAGACCGTTTGTTTTTTTTTTTTTCCAGAGCCATTTATCACTTATTTTCCTCTTAAAAATTAAGTGATAACATAGCCACTTATTTTCCTTTTAAAAATTAAGTGATAACATAGCCACTTATTTTCCTCTTAATCTTGAAGACTATCCAAAGAACCGATTTCTACTTCATCATTTGATCGATTTCACGCTCCTTACCGTCTCAATCGATCGACTTCACCCTCCTTCGCCTCTATCGCCTCTGGTGGCTTCAAATCGACCCAATTCAGATACAAATCAAGAGGGTTTTTGTCATTGTGTGTTTTCGTTCCTGTGCAAACCAGTAGTTGTGCACCTTTATCTTCATGAATCAAAGTATTTTCGTCCCTGTAGTTTTCATCATGATGGAGATTCCTTCGATTTTAGAGGTGGATTTGGGCGTTGGATTTTAGAGGAGGAGTGGTGGTGGACGGTGGTTGGTGGTGGGATGAGGGTGGAGATTGTGGATGGAAGGCTTGATCTGGAGGAGAAAGAAGAATTAAAGAAATATTGGGAACATAAACAAAAGTGAAATAAAAAATTATACATATTCATATATTTTGTTGGTTACAAAAGCAAACTATTGATTCAGATTTCAAACTTCAGACGTTTGTCAGTTTACAAAAACAAACAGTCTGACTGATTCAGATTTCAGACTTCAGCAGCACCTCTTAAAAATCAGAAGTGAAATCAGATTTTAGACTTCAGCACCTCTTAAAAAACAAACGCCACCTTAAACTCACGGGAAAAGTTGTGTTTGCCGCTGGAATTGAAGGTCGACACATAGGCCACCGTGAGCAGCTACGTGAGTTAATCTCGAGGGGGAAAGTTGCCTAAAACCTCCAGCGGGTTCCGTCTCCTTGTTCCATTAGATTTTTTTTGCCATTATTTTACTGCTTTCCTAGTTTTATTACGATTGCTATAGTTGATTAGTTTCATAATTATCCTTTGCCTATATTAAGCTATAAATAGGGTTGTTTTTTTTCATAGCGATTCATATTATCAATTAATACAATTCTTCTCCTTAAGAGTTAATGTTCTAAGTGCTACGCTGGTAGACTCGTTAACTTAAAGGGTTTAGATGCTTGTCAATTCTTCCGCAAATCTACGTTGCTTCACCAACCATCACCCAAATCCGCATGTTTGACCATCATCCCTCATTCAAAGCCATATGGCAATCGTCAAGAAACATCCCTTCTTCATTTCCCGAACTGTTGAATCTTAAAGTGAAGTGGCATTAATTTGGTGTAACTACTGTTATTTTTTTAAGTATATAAATATTTATATACGGCAAATAGAACAAATAAACTCACACATCATCCTTTGAACCCTTGACCTCCAAGGAGGTCAAGAACTCCCATACCGTTAGGCCAAAAGCACTTTAGTAGCAGCTATTGTTACTCAAAACTATTGAGCCCAAGTTAAAGAGTTGATGAGTTGGTTCAGTACTTAGGTCTCCCTCCTTAAAATCACCAATTTTATTGAGGTACATACCTCACCACTCAAATGAAATTTTGAAATGCCAATCTGCTCATTTTGGTTTTCGGATCCTATGAATTAACTTTTTCATTCTTTAGTTAACCTATTAGTGATTATTAGTACCATATATATATAATTCTAGTTCTAGGCATCTGAAGCCTTTAAATGTAGTCGGGTTTTTCAGTATTGATGAGGTAAACTTTGCAGGTTGGTGATTACTCACAATCTTTTGGTCATTTAGTCAGATTAACAAAGAATCGGTATAATCATTTGGCTTAATTATTTAGACAAACAAAGGATCGATAGGTATAATCCTATTTGGCCATTAGTCAAACAAAGGATGGGTATAAATCATTTGGCTATTTCAAACAAAAGTAACTCACCGCTATAATCCTATTTGGCTATTTAGTCAAACAAAGAGTCGGTATAATTATTTGGCCATTTAGTCAAACAAATAATGGTTACAATTTTGAAGACCAGATAAATAAATAAAAAAAGTCAAAAGTATAAATTCTTTAAATTCAAACAACAAATTGTATAACTTGATTCCTATTTTATGTAAAGTACTTTCAAAACTTTCATTTTGGTACCTAAAATGTAAAATTTTAAATATTTAAGTACTCGGATAACCGGTTGAAGCATAACCGTTTATCATGCTAATGTGACAAGTGATGTTGTATCCAACTCAATATTATTTGCTAACATGGTTAGTGATATTGTTTTTTTTTTTAATCCAAAATTAGTCTTTTTTTAATCTAAATTAGTCTTCAACTGGTTATACAGGTACTTAAATGTTTAAAACTTTACATCTTAAATACCAAAATAAAAGTTCTAAAAATACATTACCCAAAATAAAAATCAAGTTTTATTTTTTCATACAATTTATACAAATTCAAAACCCAGTATTGAATACGAGAGGATGAGAGGTGAGATGACATAATTTAGAGCCATTAATATTTCAAGTTATTCAGGACCCTATATTTATTATTTACATGGACCCCAATTTTGAATGGTTCAATGTAACACCAATATTTTGTGTCTCTTCTTCCAAAGTTAATTTCATATCGTTCTTTTTTTTAAAAGAAGAATTTAATATAGCTGTTGAAATATTTTTTTCTAAATTTTCAAAAAAAATTGAAAATTAAAAAACAAAAAATAAAGTTTACTTTATTAATTAAAAGCTGAAGATGATGACGATTATCGTGAAAATAAAAACAATTTATTCACAAAGATTGGATATCAAAAAGTAATTGTTAAATCATAAAAATGGTGTTTGATTGGTTTGAGCTTGCTTCAGGTCAAATGTACCAGGATTGAGGTTCCAGTTTCAAATCCAAATCCAAGGTGGAATAAAAATCCCCTTGTGGCTACGAAGGTTCAAATACGGTGATTCCGGACTATCTGCAAAACAGTCGTTCTGGGATTAGTCGGCTCGCATAGCGGATTGGATATCCAGATTAATTAAAAAAAAAAAAATTAGTTGTTAGTTGACTTGGCCTTCCATTTTTAATACTACTTGTTGGATGCATTATTGTCCATATACTCATAAATCTAATATCTCTTGGATCGTTCCTACCTTCCCACGCTTCATAATGGTTTTTCTCTCTGAAATAGCTTCGTCTTCATCAACTCAAGATCATACATATGACGTGTTCTTAAGCTTTAGAGGTTTTGATACTCGTCTTAGTTTTACCGATCATCTCTACAAAGCGCTCGTGAATGCTAACATCACTACCTTTTTGGACGATGAAGAGATCGAAACCGGAGATGATTTGAAACCGGAATTGGAGAATGCGATTACAGCATCCAGGGCATCTATTATCGTCTTGTCCAAGAATTACGCTTCTTCGACATGGTGTCTTGACGAACTGGTATTAATCCTTGAGCAACGTAGGAACTACGACCATATCGTTATCCCTGTCTTCTATCATGTCGAGCCCACCGATGTCAGGAAGCAACAAAACAGCTTCGGAATTGATATGGCAAAGCATAAACAGAAGATGGAGATAGAGACGAATGCAGAGAAAAAGAGTCGGTGGGCTCAAAAAATGGAGCTGTGGAATACAGCACTTACAGAAGTTGCTGATTTAAAAGGAAAAACTGCAAAGGACCGGTAACAACTTTCTTGTTTGATTTTCAACATATTTTATTTGCTTAAAGACACTTACCAGCTTACTGAATCAATATGACAACGACTAAGAATCTTATCCGGTAAGTGAGGACGACGACTCTTACCACGGTCAACACTTACCGGTAAATTGTTGCATACAATACCATTTTGATGGACTTAAATCTTATCCGGTAAGTGTGATAGTATTGAATTTTACCGATAAGCACTTACCACTTTTCAAATGAACCTTTTCCCCTACAAAAAAAAAAAAAAAAAAAAAAAAATATATATATATATATATATATACATTACTGGCTTGCATACATATTGTCAGGTTCAAACAAGAACAATCATTAAATAAGAGAATAAAAAAACGATTGAATCATATATGATTTTACACTAAAAACACGTAAAAAATACATGTGATTCACGTGATCACTTCGCCCGCTCACCCTTTTGTCGACCGTTAAAATCACATATTATTTTGCACGTGATTTGATCGTTTTCGTATTCTCTTATTTAGTTACCGTTCTCGTTTGAACCTGCCCTCTCTCTCTATACATATTACTGGCTGCATATGTGTATTTTTTTTAGTTCCATATTGATGTTTCATATTTTTCATCAGGAAAGAGACGGAGTTGATTGAAGAAATTGTAACCGACATCTATCGTAAACTAGGTGTACTCTTAAGTAGTCCTCAGCCACTCCTTATTGGCATGAACCATCATATTAGCTCCATTACATCTTGGTTGAAAGATAGATCCTCTCATACCGTTGACATCCTCACAATTTGGGGCATCGATGGGATCGGGAAGTCAACTTTGGCCAAATATATCTTTAGATTACACGGTCATGAATTTGAAAGAAGCAGCTTTGTTGCAAATATTAGTAGGAAATGTGCAGAAAGAATTGATGGATTGCTTGATTTGCAAAAACAAATTTGTGGTGACGTTTCAAAAACAAGTTCGATTCAAGTTCATGATGTGTCTGTGTACACCTCTAAGATTGAGAAGGCACTAGCCCGTAAAAAGGTGTTTGTAGTTCTTGATGACGTTGATAGTCTCAAGCAGTTGGATGCGTTGCTTGGAAACAAAGGTTTTCATCCGGGAAGCAAAGTCATAATAACGACCAAGGACGTGTCATTGACTGAACGGTGTCAGTTATTCAACATGATGGTTCAGCCCAAGCATAAAAAGCACTTACTTAGAGGCTTAAATGAGTATGAATCACTGAATCTTTTTAGTTTTCATGCATTCAAGTGCAGCGGTCCGAAAGAAGAATACAAAGAGGTTTCAGATACGCTTGTGAAATATTGCGAGGGACATCCATTAGCTCTTGAAGTTTTGGGCAGTTCTCTATGTAATAGAGATGTAGCTGAATGGGTGGATCACTTAGAGAGGCTAAAGGAGGAACCTGATTCATGTATTAAAAACGTCCTGCAACTGAGCTTTGATTCTTTGCCATCCACAAATGACAAGGAATTGTTTAAGCATATCGCTTGTTTTTTTGTTGGGAAAGATATGGAATCAACTGAAACAATATTACAGGCATGTAGGGTCCGCACGGTACTCGGGATCAAGAATCTTGTTGATAGATGCCTTCTTTTTATTAGTTGGGATAACAAGTTGATGATGCATCAATTGGTTCAAGAGATGGGAAGAGATGTAGTACGACAAGAATCACCTAACAAGCCATGGAAGCGTAGCCGAATATGGTGTCATGAGGAGTCATTCAATGTGTTGGAACAAAACAAGGTAAGAGGCTATGTACGTATACTTGTCATGATTGTAGAAATTGTCTGTAGTTTGTATCGTTAATCTTACATTTACATAAGGTTTTCAAGTTTTTGACGTTCACTTTCCTTTTAGGGTACGGGAAAACTTCAAGGCCTTCTTCTTGACATGGAGATGCTTGATAAAGAGTATACATATGGATCCGTTGAGTTGAAAACAGATGCGTTGAGTAAGATGGATAATCTTATGCTACTACAACTCAATTATGTGCAACTCAGTGGATCTTATGAGAGTTTTCCCAAAAAATTAAGATGGTTGTGTATGCATGGGTTCCCTTTAGAGTATATACCTCCAGACTTGCAATTAGAGAATCTAGTTGCTCTTGACATGTCTTATAGCAGTTTCAAATCGTTGGATATGTCTTATGGTAACTCACAACGATCTGGGAAGATTCAAAAGGTAAGCATGCACTTCGATTTATTATGTTCTTCCATGTTGAGTTAAAGCAATTCACTAATTTTTTTTACCTTATCTCCATTTCAACAGTTAAGTGGCTCGAGCTCAAAAGACAAACGCTTGCTTAGATCATTGAAGAACCTTAACTTAAGTTCCTGTAAACAGCTACATAGTCTTGGTGGCTTTATTGAACTTCCTGCACTTGAGAGGTTGATACTTTCAAATTGCACAAGCTTGGTTGAGGTTTGTGAATCAATTGAGCAGTGTGATGGACTTGAGCTCATCGATCTGAGTTATTGCAACGACGTTGGAAGGCTTTCAAGAATGATAAGAAAGTTAAGAAAGGTGAAAATACTAAAAGTAGATGGTTGTAATCTTGGTGAGTTTCCAATCGAGATGAGGGATGATGCGGAAGTACCAGAAATGCTCAAAGGTAACAACATTGGCATAAACTCGCAAACCTTTTCCTCTGTCATTGTGGAAGCTATACCGAGAGCTTTGAGGACCTTTGTGCTTTCTTTACCAAGCTCGTTAGTATGTTTATCGCTTAAAAATAATGGGTTGTCCGATGAATCCTTTCCAAAGGACTTGAGTAGCCTATCTATGTTGAAGGAGTTAAATTTAGACGGTAATTCTATCATTTCCTTGCCTAATTGTGTGAGAAGCCTCCCGAGACTTGAGATACTTAGTATTAATGATTGTGATAAACTGAAGACATTGGAACATCCTCCGCGTACACTAAAAGAACTGATATTTGGTTTTAGTGACGATAACAAGGAAGGGAAAGTTGTATTTGATCGAGAAATGTCCCCGATCATGTTCAGTGTGGGGGAAGGTTGGGGGTCTTTTATCGAAGGCATGTTCAAAGTGGAAGATATGGAAGATGTTGAGGAAAAGGTATTACGTAGTTTGGGGTGGAGTCGTTTAGACTTCATTCAGCTGACAAAATCTAAAGTCCAGGTTTGCGCTCATTAACTAACCATGTCTGATTGATTATGTACATATAATTCATGTTGATTAATCTTATTTAATTAGCAGATGCAATATGAATTTGGGATATTCAGCACGTATTATGATGGGAATGAGATTCCGAATTGGATTAGTGATAGAAGAGAAGGGTCGTCAATATCATTTACCATCCCATCATCTTCTAACGACCTTAGAGGCTTGAATTTCTGCTTCGTAAGTATGCCTCCAGAGAGTCACGGTACCTATTTATGGGTAGATATCAAGATTAGTAATATAACAAAGAACCGCACTTGGATATATGCTTGTTCTTTGGTCTTTGAGAGTGCCATAGCGAGCGGAATATATTTAAGCCATTGGATGTTTGGGAAGAACGAGATGGAAGATGGCGACCAACTTACTATTTCCATTATAAAGAACCATCCCGTTGGTAGTATTATAACGGAGTGTGGGGTGAGTTTTGTGTACAATGAAGATGATGATGGGAAGAATAAGATGGACGACGACGACGAAGAAGAAGTTTTGGGTTATTACAAGTCATGGAATCATATCATTGGCGGTGATCTCTCTGCTTTTCGAACAACTACGCCCGGAGAATATTTCTTAAACAAGTTGTACTTTTTGGGGTACAATTATGGAACCGACTACGTAGGTATGTGTTATCCATGTTTATTAAATATCTTCCGTCATGTTTTTCATACCCGAGATCAACACGTACGATTGAACACTTGAATTTTTCCACACAGATAACAATATCCACAAGCTATATATACATTACTTGGTACAAGTAGATGTAAATTGATGCTAATACCACATGCATTAATTGCTTTTTTATCCACTTTTATCAGATGAGTGTCCTTTGTTTAGAGCTTTTCCACACAGCCAGTGAACACAGTTGGTGGGTGGTGCACCTAATGTAAAAGGTACTTTCTTTTCCATCACCAATCCCTTTAACTACATTCTCTCATCAACTTATATAAATTAAAACCGTTATGCAAGCCGACTAATCTCAGGACGACCACCTGCTTTACGGGTAGTCCAGAGTCACCGCATTTGAAGCTCCGTAGCCACAAGGGGATTTTTATTCCTCCTTGGATTTGAACCTACGACCTCCTGACACTTTTTGACCTTTGGAGCCAAACTCAAAACAATCTGGCACCACCCTTGTGGTTCAAAAACAGACTACATTTACGCTACTAATTAAACGTTTTTTGATGCATGCAGGCATATTCCCCCATTTGTTGCGTCAAGAGTCTCGAAGAGATGTTTTACGGAAAAATATTCGTAACAGTTTGAAGTTGCTTTGGAGCTTAAGTAACATGTCTTGGATAAGTAGTTTATCGAAGTAAATATTGTTCTGTAGAAATTCCTGAAAGGCCTTTCCGTGTTAGCAGTTTCTTTTAGTTACTTGTACACATTCTAACAATGACAACAAAATTGAAATCATAACGACAACGTGCAAAATATGGTTCTGCGAAACCGGAGTGGTGTGTTTATGATGATTATAACTAACTAAACCCATGATTTGGACCAAGCATGACCACATCTCAGTTTTCGAGACTAAATCAAATTGGACCGATGGTACATCCGTTAATGTTTGTACAATCAATGGTGAACTCGAATTTTTGAATGTACCTTTAAGGTGGATCAAAAGTCTATAAAGTTATTTAATGTGTTTTCAGCCGAAACCCACTGTTTTTGAGGAAATTTTCAAGTTTTTTGGTTGATTTCGGGGGATTTTTTCAAGTCTTTCGGTTGATTATGAAGATATTTTTTCGGGCTTTTGTTGATTTCGAGAGACTTGTTTGGTTTCTGGTTGATGTCGCTTGTATTTTCTAATATCTCGGAGCACTTCTGAAAATTTAACAGGGTGCAATCTTCATATAAAAAAATAAATTTAGAAAAATCGATTGTGCAAATAGACAAGACCTTGCTTGGGACTTCATAGGTGATTATTTAAATATGGCCAACGTTACATTACAAGCACGGCTAAAATATAAAAACAGAAGATATTTCATAAAGATGAGAGTCGATTATAGATTTGGTCACTGCCATTTTTGATGATTTTCTAAGGGCCTGTTTACTTGTGACTTAATGAGCTTACCGGATAAACGGGTTTATTCGCACAGCCATTTTAGGCTGTTTACTTCGAGCTTATTCGCCCAGATAGGGGCTTATTCGCACAGACCATTTTAGGCACTTGTCCACATTAAGCCAACAAAAAAGACATACCTACCCTTGTAAAACTCACGGTCTGGGCGATTTTGGTCCTCGACAGGTTTCTTCCTCCTCCAAAACCCTAATCGATGATTTTGGTCCTGTATTCTCTGTTTGCTTCCGATTTTGATGCTTCCGATTTTGCTGCTTCCTCCTCCAAAACCCTAATCTCCAATCTTCGCTCGATTTTGATGCTTCCGATTTTGCTGCTCGATTCGGTTTGTATCCTCTGTTTGCTTCCGATTTTGCTGCTCGATTCGATTTTGTATGACGAGTTTTTGCTGCTCGATTCTTAGGTTCTATTCGGTCTTAGGTTCGAGTTTTTGCTGCTCGATTTTTGCTGCTCGATTTTTGCTGTTCGAGTTTTTGCTGTTCGAGGTTTTGCTGCTCGACTTTTTTGTATTCGGTCTCGATTTTTTTGTTTGATGCTTAAACCAGAGGGTTAAACCAGCAGCATGCGAAGGAGAAGCAACGCGAGTTGAAAAATTAGGCTGAATCACTCGAGAAKGAGAAAGATTGTTTGTTTTTGGAAAATCTGAAGTTGAATGACGAGTTGAAGAAGAAACAGAAGGAGTCTGATGCRTTGAGGATGGAGAATCTGGTTACAGAACCCAGAAGGAGTCTGACGAGTTGAAGAAGAAACTAGAAGTTGAAAAATGATGCTGTTGATTTTGTTGTTGTTTTATGGTTACAGAACCCCAAACACTTGGCTGTTTGGTGCTGTTGATTTTGTTGTTGTTTTATGGGTTTATTCAAGAATTATTAAACAGTGCATAGTTCATCATCAGGGGTAAATTGGTCATTTMTGTTATTCAGACTGTTGATTCAGATAGAAAAGTAAACAACAACATAAATTTATCCAGACAGATAAATTTATCCAGACAGACAAATTTATCCATACAGAACTTAATAGAAAATTTGGTAAACAGCCCCTAACTAGAGTCCTTATTTATGATACTTTCTGTTATGTCGAGAGGAAAAAGGGGATCCAAATGCCCCATCAATGAAGTAAGGGCTTTCCGGACCTTCCCACCCCTCACTCCACCTTTTTCAAAAAAAAAAAACCCCGCTTAACAAGGGCCCCCTCTCTGATAAGAAAGAAAACGATAGAATCTCAGCTCTTGTCCTGGTTTAGAATTTATCTCTTTCCCTTTATTTTTATGGTTTTTTTTTAAACAGAACATCAAAACACTAGGAGCAAATCCATAATAAACATGTCATGGGGATCCTAGTAAAAAAAACATCTAAAAAAGAGACCAAATCTATATCTCACTCTAAAGATCATTAAAACGTGTTATAAAAACGCAGATTAAAAAGAAAGGGACCAAATCTATAATTCACTTTAAGGGGGTATTTGAGATTGCTTATAAAAACAACTTATTGACTTATTTCAGTATGATACCAGTAATAAATATTTTTGAGTGTTTAGATAAACAACTTATATCAGTATCAAACCAGTAATAAGAAATTTTTAAAAAAGCTAAACAATTCTAACTTATAATAAATTAATAAACATTTTTATAAAAAAACATAAATTGTTTTAAATTAACCTAAAAAGGAAAAAGAAAAGGTAAATATTTGCGCGTTGGAAGGAGTGAGCTGTGTAATTTCCATCAACTGGCTTCGATGGGATTCGCATTTGTCTCTGGCGATTTCATGGCCTTCTTTCGATGAACAAACCCTAATTGTAAAACTACCGTCGATATTTGCGTCATTGGTACCGACATCGCTGCCTCCTCTGTCACTCACTTCCTCCCCAACCATGTTTTATCATCACCGGATTCTCATTGGAAGCCGGCTGACACATCTAACATATCAAGAACTGGTGAATCTGAAAGTGAAGGGGCATTTGGGAAGGGTAACAGTTGTTATTATGCTATTGGGTCCAAGTCATGGTGTCATTTGGTTCAGTACTTGGTCTCATTGCTAATTCGACACGGATGTTGTTATGCTATGGCATTTTCATATCATCACAGGTACATCTCTCTCCACTCAATTTTTTTATTAACCTCGATATCCAACCCGTTATGCGAGCGGATTAATCTCGAGACGACCACCTGCTTTGGATAGCCTAGGGTCACCGCATTTGAACCTCCACGACCAAAAGGGAATTCTTGGATTTGAACCTTGGACCAAAAGGGGATTTTTGTTCCTTTTCTAACAACTACAGGAGAATACCTCCTTGAGAGAATAATATAATTAAAAGCAATGAGATTAGGAGCCACAAATCTTATAATTGTAAAAGAAATATAAAAAAAAAAGCCTAACAAATCTACAAACCAAACTAAATATACACAATATCTACCATTCGAAAGTAGGTGTAAAATGCATTCTTTGATGCTATCCTATCATGGTATCACTATTAGAAAATTGATTATTTCCGGCGGAAAAATCCTTCGGAAAAAATTCTGGCGGATTTCAGGGGGCATAAAAAAAGTCGACTTACATTGACTTTCGTCCGAAATCCGCCAGAAATCCGCCGCTATTTATATCCTGGCATTATTTTTGGCGGATTTTCTGCGGATTATACAGATTACGTATTTATGAAATTATTAACTCTAATTACAATAAATTACCGGCGGATTTTTGATCTTAAGATTTGTAATCCGCTGGAAAATAATTAAAGTTAAAAATTATTATTTTAAATTATCGGCAGATTACCGGTGGACATATTCGCTGTTAACATAAAACCCTACGCTCTTCCTCAAATCGACAGCCGCTGTTATACCCAATTCTCAAACCGACGCAAGATCGACAACCGCTATTATACCCCCATTCTCAAACCGACGCAAGATCGACAACCGCTATTATACCCCCATTCTCAAACCGACACACACCATCCCATTTTTCAAATCGACCCTACCGTCTTCCCCTATCGCCACCGACGATCCCTTCCCCTACCACCGACCTCCTCCCCTGCCGTTGCTATCTTCCTGCCGCTCCGGTATGTATATATTTCATCCTTATGTATGTAAATATGCACTATATGTAAATATATGTTTGTATATATGATTTTATGTATGTATATATGTATGTACGTACATACATACATACGTACATTATGTACATATGTACGTACGTATATACATACATACGTACATTATGTACGTATGTATGTATGTATATACATACATACGTACATTATGTACGTATGTATGTATGTATATATATATATATTTATGTATGTGTATATATATATATATATATATATATATATGTATGTATGTATATATTTGTCTTTTTTTGAAAGTTATCGTGAATTAACAATTTGGATTTATATAATTGGTTAAGATTTATTTCAAAAAGTTTAAAAAATGTTAATTTGAATGAATGACAACTTCTGTTAACACAAATCTAATTTGGTTATCACAAACTATTATCTTTTGTTAATTGGTTAACACAAACTATTTTCTATTTATTCTTGAGGTAAATTGCAATGAATGACAACTTTTGTCTAAAATCTAATTTGGTTATCGAACTTTGAAATCAAGTAGAAAATGTTTGAATTTTGCCCAAAGAAAAGGTTAGGTGTTGTGTGGTTCGTAGAATTCATACGAATTGGAATAATCAATTCATATTGAAACTATGCTGTTATATCGGTCGGAATACGAAATACCGGTCAGGACCGATATTCGATATATCGGTTATATCGGTGATATATCGGAAATAGCGGTTAACATAATATTTCTTAGAACTATATATATAATATGCATTAATTAGAGTTTAGAAGTTTGAAGACTGAAGTTGAAGTCGAAGTGTGAAGAAAAGTCGAGACTGAAGTGTGAAGAAGAAGTCGAGACTGAAGTGTGAAGAAGAAGTCGAGACTGAAGTGTGAAGAAGAAGTCGAGACTTGAAGTCGAAGTCTGAAGACTGAAGTTGAAGTTGAAGTCGAAGTGTGATTTGTGAAGAAAAAGTCGAGACTGAAGTTGAACGTGAAGAAGAAGAAGACGTTGTGGAAAGATTCAGACCTAATTTAAGTTATCAGCCCAAAAAATGGCTAAAAATCGCTAAAAATCGGAAAATATCGCTAAAAATCGCTAAAAATCGGAAAATAACGCCGATAATATCGTTCCCGATATTTTGACCGATATTTGAGTTCCGATTTTTTTTTGGAGCGATATCCGATATATCGCGATTTTAACAGCATAGTATTGAAATAGATAGAATCTTTTGAATTCCACAAATTAAGGAATTGATAATGTTACATCGTACAAAATGTCTCGTCGATAGCTTTAAAA